GGCGAGCACGACACTGTTTGACGAGAGACGTGGGTGCAGTCTCCAGGTTTGTCGGGTACAGTGATCAGGTAGGAAGCCTTCTGGTGATGTGCCGAACTGCTCTTCTACAAGCCACCCTGTACCGAGCTACCTTGCAAGTGGCGAGCTGCCTGTGGCAAACTACACTGAGCTATCTGGCCCGAGGTGTCTCTACCTCGGGGGTATCTAGAGGCGGATCGTGGTGTTCCTGCTTGAGAGTGGCCTAAAATCCACTGGGAGGAGCTTAGGCATTAAAAAAGGTCAGGGGGCCCCGAGCTTGGAGGTAGCTCGGAGTGCCTCAGCCTTGGGAAGGAGGCACAAGCCAGGCGGCTCTCGGCGAGTAGCCTAACCCGCAGAGTTGCCAGACTCAGCTCGGTGAGCCCTTCCCACTGAGTTGCGGTTGTGCTTGTTGTGCTGTCACGCTGAGTCATCGCTTGAGCAAGATCACACCCATGTGTACCCGTGCTACGAGGTCGGGCCAAATCACCCTCCATCAATAACTTTAAAATATTTATTAACAAGACAAAAAATAATTATAATTGATTTAATATTATTCATATTATTAATAATTATATATTTTTACAAAATTCATCACTAAACTATGTATAAACAATATAAAATATGATTTTCTAGATTGTTCAATCTAAATGTTATTCAAATAATAAAATCTAACATTAAAAATGAAATATTATTTAAATATTTCAATAACTAAATATCTTAAATAACAAAATATTAAAATTAATATTTTAAATAGTTATTGAATAACTTTTTGTTATAATAAATAGATTAATATTTTAAATATTTAGTTAAATAACTAAATATTTTAAATAATGAAATATTTTACATAACTAGATTTTAAATAGTTAAAATAACAAAATTATGTATTAATAGTACTATAATTTTATGGATTATTAAATTCAAMRARTAATTAATATTTTAWAATTTAAATAATGATATTATTTCAATAAATAAATAATATTGTAAATAACTAATTTCAATTATACCAATTAATATTTCTTGAAAATAATATTCAAAAAAATTATTGTTTAATAATAATAATTTTAAAAATGTAATCTTTATTTATTATATATTTATCTATACTAAAATTGATATTTATTGTATTTTGGTAATTATTTATTGTTTTTTGTGATAAATATATTTTCAATAATTATTAAATCAATTTTTTTTTGTTTATTAATAGAAAAATCTTTATAATTATTGGAGTTTAAACTATTGTTATTTAGCTTTTTAGATTTAATTTATTGTGTATTTTTGTTATACATTTTTAATAATTATTGGAGATTAAACTATTGTTTACGAGTTAGTTTGTTTTAGTTGTAGGTTATTTGGCCAACCAAATCGACCTGGTCAGGTTGGGGGGTTGGTCACTCAAGTTATATCGGTTTGGGTCAATTTTCGGTTTGGTCGGTCAGTTCAAAAGATTTAAACTTAAAATTTTGAATTTCAAAATTAAGTTTAAATTAAAAAAATACAATGACATTATTAAAAATTAAATTTATGATATAAATTATTTTAGCCTAAGAAATATTGGAAAATTTCCATTTTCCGGTATAAAAAAATATATTTAAAATATAAAATATTAATATATGGTCATGTCATTCAATTTTAATCAGTTTACAAATGACCAAAGTAAAATTGATCCAACCCAGTYGGGTTAGGAAATTGTTGAACCAAAGCCGGCTAGAAATATTAGAAATCGGGTTGGTCAGTTTCATTAGTTTGATTCAAAATGGCAACAAGGTGGGGCGGGGATGAGGAGTCTCTCCCCATCCCCGTTCCGCAAAAATCCCCATCCGTGTCCCCATCCCCATCCCCGCCAACATGGACAAAGTTATCCCCATCCCTATTTCCACGGGGATCCCCACTCCCTATGGTTCATTATAATGTCAACCATTATGTTTTTGTACATATATACATATTTTTAAAAATATTAACATATAGACGTATGTGTACATATATACATATATAAACTATGCATATATATTAGTGGGGATCCCATTGGGTGGAAATCGAGGTCCACGTGGGGCAAGGAGTGCTCTCCCCGTCCCCACCAATGGGGATGAAAATTTTCCCATCTCTGTACCTGTGGGGGGCTGGGGAATCATTCCCATCCCCGCCCCATTTGGGGCAGATCCCCACAAGGATCAGGGAAATGGAGAAAATTGTCATCCCAAAGTTTGATAAACAACCCTATCTAAACTTAATTATTGTTACTTTTGTATTGTAAAAAAATTATTAAAAGTAGTATATAAAATATAAATGATTATTAATTATTATATAAAACAATTGTATATAGGGATGTCAATGGGTTGGGTTAAATGGTAAACCCAGCTTGACCCGACTCTATAGGGTAAGGTTAAGGTCAAGTATATTTGGCTTAGGGTCAAGTTAGAGTTTTGATTCTTTGACCCAAGTCGGGTTCGGGTTTTGGCTGACCCGCCCCGCCAGGTCATGATACCTTGCATATATACTAAGTATTCTTGCAAATTTTTTTACTTCTAACTTTATAGGCTTAATATAATTTATTTATATGTTGATTTTGATTTTCTTTTTTTTTTAAATGGAAAAAATAACACCTTAGAATCTATAAAACAATTTCCATATTTAAATCAATGTATTTTAGGTCTTCAAAATATGTTAAAATATACAATTAAAACTATATGGGTCAAGTCAGGTCGGAACTGGGTTAAACCCTATAAGGTTGGGTCGGGTTCAGGTCCATGTATTTTTTAAGCTGGGTTGAATCAAGTTCGGTTTGGAGTGCTGGAGGGTCAGGTTAGGATTTAGACAAACCCGTGCCAAACCTGACCCGTTGACATCCCTATGTATACTTTTATATACTTCAATTGTTTGTCTTTTAACTTAACAAATTCCGTATATCGCACGGATCCCGTTAGTTTTATATACAAAGTAGAGTACAAAATCTCAATTGATATGAAAGTTAGAAAAATAACAAAGAATAGAGAGCTGCCATTGAAAATTTAATGATTCCTAGCCTTATCATGGCGCAGTTTTCTTGGTGGGGGGCCAAAGTCCCCCCCGGTCAAGGACGCTCTCAATTTATTTTGCCCATTTGATATTTTTTAGGTCAATAGACTTGTTTTATTTTTATTTTGACTTGTAGTAAAATGACTTAATCATAAATAAAAAGAAATAAGTGATTTTTCCCAACAGAGCGCTATACAATTTCCATAGCATTTCCCTCTAAGATGACTTTGAAGAAATAATATATTAATTAGAATTGGCATGGTCTAGGCGCATCAATTAGGATCGATATAATTTCCATACAATATTTTGGAAGGGGATTTGAATAGAAGTATTTTAACAGTGTATGTTGGATTTATTTATTTATTTGTTGTAGAACCGATATGTTGCAATATATTAAACCTTATTTACGGATTGGAAATAGTACTGATTCTATGATAAAAAAAAAAGAAAAGAAAAATGTTTTCTTAAATGAATATATTATTAATAATTTCTGACCTAGTCAAACATGGGACTATGAATATAAATAAAAGAAAGAAAATGATAAAAAAGAAAAAGACCAAGACCTATTCTTTCAGTAGCGGAGCAAGACCTCGACAAGGGTTGGAATCCATGTTCTTTGCATAGAGGTGAAGCTTTCCTTTTCCATATAGAGGCTGAGAGATACGTAGGCTGAATCAATGGCGTGGAAGAGGGGATAGATACTTGGACTAGATAGACCGCTAACTCTAATTCATTCTATATATAAGGCAACAGAAATAAAGAGCAAATAGGATCAGAATTATCGATCCAATTGGGAGGGTTTCCATGTAGCAGCTTTTGGTTACATGAGCTGAAAAATCGGGAATGCCGTGAAGTTGTAGTTGTGTTTGATAATAGCTCAAAAAGTCTGAAATAGGTTTACTGAAGGTGCAAAATCAACTTTCTGGTGAAATTATCTCAAATAATTTCTCCGAAGCGACTCAATAAACGCAGAAACCCCCCCAAAGACTCTATACTGAATACTGATTGAAGAGAGAAAGCAATGGAGATGTGGTTGAACTTCATCTTGCTGGTGGGTTATTGGGCAGCTAAGGTCCTCGTTAATGGTCAACTGCAATCTGGTAAGCACATTTTCATTTTTCTCTCTACAATTTATCCAAAAACAGAGTTCGATGGATATTGTCTTATGGAGAATTAATTACATGCATGTAATACAGGTGCAATTTCATCATAGAAAGTAAGTTGAAAAAGAAAAATTAGCATAAAAGAACTGAATTACAAAAAAGAAGAAACCATGTTTCAATATGATTACAGGTAGCCTTGTTGCATGAGATCTTGAACCTCAAGAGGAAAACCACCCACCCTTCGAGCACTTCTTCAATATAAAATTTCATCAAATACATTAATCACTGTTTAGGCTCCGTTTGTTTTGCAGTACAAATCTGAACCGAATACAAGCTCTGTACCTGGTTCAGTTTTGTATATTTTTGTTTGTAATCATAATTTGCACTAGAATTTAGAGAAATGTGATGCGTATGGTGTAATCAGATACATTTGGATGCATTTGATACAAAAATCTTATAAAAAATTACAACTTTAAAAGTGGGAGTGGAACCCTTTAATATCTATAAAAGTAAAAAAATAAAAAACAAAAATAGATAAGTATTGATCATATCAATATACACGGATACCTACTTGAGGATATTCAATATTGTAATTTTTAATCATTACTTGTAACCCATGCTAGCATTTGTAATAAATAAATTTAAGGCATCATATCAAATGCCTTTTTTTTTTCCAAAGTAGGGGCAACTCAGGTTGGCCCTAGTTAACATTTGATGCTGCCTTGATCTCCGGCTTTTCAGGCCGGGCCGATTCAAATTTGCACCTCTATTTTGAATACTTTAAGCTGTGTTTAATTTGAAGGAAAAGGTAGGGAAAGGAAAGAAAAGATAAGGAAGTCTTTACAAACCTTCTATAGGTTTTCCTACCTTTTCTTTCTTTTCTCTATCTTTTTTTTTCAAACCAAACATAGCCTTAATGTGTTCCTAATTTCATTGGGGTCATATATGACCACTACCACAACAGATGTTTTCTCAAATAAATAATTCTTCTACCTCCGTTATAAGATGGGGATTACTTTTTTTTTCATATCTTATTATTCAAAATCAAATTAAATTTAAAGCAAAGTAAATATCAGAACTAACACTGCTTAATCCCATACATTTACACCCATACAAATGAAATGTGCAGGACAAACAAACAAATATCTTCTTAAAATTGTAAATTTGGCAAAAGAGCAACCAAATGTTTATTCGCATAACCGAGTGGTGGCTCAGTTGATAAGTTAATTGGGTAGCGAAGATGCGGATTCCAGTTCCACTTAGGGATGAGTAAACAAATCGAAAAAATCAAACTGATAGAAATCGAATTGAAAAATTGGTTAATCGAATTGATTGGTTTGGTGTTTTTAAAAAATTAAAGGTATCAGTTCGGTTTTGATTAACCAATATAGAAAATCAGCAGTTAATCGAACTGACCAATATATGTATATTTTTATACATTATATATATATATTTTTATATACTATAAATTAATAAATATGCATTATTAATAAATATATATATTTATAATATATGATATATTATTTATTAATTAAAATATAATATTTTATATATATATTTATAATTTTTTACTATATATTTATATATTTTTATAATATATATTATAAAAATAAAAAAACCAAAAAATCAATGAACCAAACCGATGATTAACCGAATTGGTCAACTGGTTAACTGACTGGTTTCCGTTACCAGTTTTCTAAAAACCGATAATACCAATTCAATCCAAGAAAAATCCCCACGGTTCAATTTCGGTTAACTGAACCGTGACCACCCCTAATGCATATGGTGTGGGCTCCATGTGTGAGCCCCATGTGCGCGTGAAAAGGTGTTTAGAATTAGAACTTGCATGTACAATTTCATGAATTGGGATTTGCTTCTAAGTACTCTCACAATCATATCCCACCGTGCATTGAGAATATCTTCCATGAATAATAATAATAACATATAAGTATCGTGTGGATGTACACCAATTGTGTGATCTAGATTCCTTGTAGAGTTTTTTTTTTTTTTTCAATAAGCAATTAGAATAGGTTTTTAACATGGAAAAAACCATCTAGGAAGTTGATGCAACCCATTATTAGACATGGAGAAAGAACATGCAAGTATTACTTGTGATATTGATTAAAGATTTTCAGGTCCATTCTTTCTCATGCAAGTGGGTAGGTTCTACCAAGAATTGAATGGAATCAACCTCAAATTGATCTTACCAAATGTGTTATCAGGCAGGTTTGGTTTCAAGAATACAAATTCCTGGAACTGACTCCATTCAGACTGGTTCTAAGGTATGGGGATCCGAACCAGCCAAGTTGACTTAGTGGAACCAGCCTTGGTTGACTTTAATAGAATCAGACTTGTCTTAAAATAAATCCCAAAATACCTTGAGTCTAAACGACCTATGGTCACCCTAAGACTGAGATTAACTTTGATTCAACCCATTTTGTTGATTCCTGAATCCCTGATTTCAAGTTGGGTTAAGAGAAAGGTCGGATTGGATTAGGTTGAATTTAGGAATAATCATGGGCTGGATGACAAGATTCCAGGCCTATCTTTTAAATGCAAAATAGTAAATGTTTATAATGTAGAACATTAAACTGAGATTAACTTTGATTCAACCCAATTTGTTGATTCCTGAATCCCTGATTTCAAGTTGGGTCAAGAGAAAGGTCAGGTTGGATTGAGTTGAATTTAGGAATAATCATGGGCTGGATGACAAGATTCCAGGCCTATGTTTTAAATGCAAAATAGTAAATGTTTATAATGTACAACATTAAATCTATATAAAATATGTTATATTGTATATAATATAATATAGCAGTTAGAACATAATTATATATATATATATATATGTAAATACTCTTAAAGTATTTGAGCCCAGATTGTTGACCCCGCCAAGAAATGCTAGTCAACAACATCATACAACTCTAGGACAATTTTCTCTTCACCCTCTGCAGAGACACACTATAACACAAAATCGAAAGCAGATTAGCTGAATTTGGTAGCTGTTTTACAATTTTACTAGTTGTGAGATTAATCATTTTGCTAAAGTGTATATGGTCCCAATTACTCACTCTCTGGCATTAATCCCACAGTCAGTAAAACAGATATCAGATTCAGCTAATCATTGGTATGCCATGGATTCCACAAAAGTTGCATATCGTGTTTGGATATATTTCACTATAATTTGGTGTTTTTTTTTTTGTGGGTTTGCCTATGATATAGAAAAGATATGATATCTGAAAAACTTCTGACCAGTCAAATAGAATCACAAACTTGATAGTCAATCAGGTGTTATTTATTAAAATTCATGGGTGAGTTTTGATTGGTCAGAACTCTTCCTATATCATGTCTTTCTCACATCATAGATTTTCCTTTTATTGATAGAAAAACAATTCATTAAGAGGGTGTTCTTTTGGTGGTTGTATTTGTGTTTCATTGGTTTACAAATACATAGGATTTTGAAAAAATATTTTCATTTTGTTGCTAATTCTAGAATCATTATCAAAGTTCTAAACACTATGGAAAATTGCTTTTGGAACAGAAGAACATGGTTTAGAAAGAAGACGAGGTCAACTCATTCTATGCATCTTGGGACATACTCTTTACACCATATTATATTATATTATATTTTAACATTTTTTATTCAAGGGGCTACCCAAGAGAGAGTAGCAATCCCCTAGGGGCTGTTCATAAAAGACCCAAACTGACCGACCCGAGTTGGCCAGTTTTTCTTCAGCACTGATCGGTTCCGGGTTAAAATAAAACATAAACCGATGGTTCGGTTCGGTTTGGTTTCAGTTTTTATGTGTGAAAACCGAAACCGAACCAACCCAAACTGACTTAGATATATATATAATATATTTTAGATATTATATATATATATTTCAGCTTTATTTCGGAAATATGCATATTATATATAAAATTTCAGCTTTAATCCATCAAATCATTTTTAATTTCTAGGCATCCAGCCTTCGCTTCTTAGACTTGAATCATTTACCGTTTATACCGAAAGAATCATTCACAAAACCAATCCAAACCGATCAGGTCGGATCGATTAGAAAAATGCCAATAAACCGACCCAGCCCGACCTATGAACAGCCTTACTATCCCCAAATCCATAACCCCCCCCCCCCCAACACAAAGCAGGATTCGATCCCAAGTCTCTATTACAGTCAAGTGATCAACGGAAAACCTTACCAACCAGCTGTGGTTGGTATTTTTTTTTTTCTGGACTCAAATGCGCATCTCGGCAAGGTTGGCACCTTGCACATTAATTATATTTTAATTTAAATATATTATTGATAGCAAACGAACATTTAAAACCCTATAAATAAATGACTGTACAGTCAAAGTTGAATAGTGATAGATAAATGATACGGCAAATCCCCACATTGGGGCTATTTGAGTAGTGTAACACCACACTTATAACCCCCTCCCCTAAGAAGCGGGATTCAAACCCCATATATGCTGAAATGTATTGAGGCCCTGTTCGCTTTTTGGTAAGTCACTTATTTGGGTAAGTGCATTTACCTATTTTCTTTTGTTTCCTAAGTAAATAAAGCAATGATCATTTTAGCTATAAAAATCTATTATTAAAGGGGCATTTTTATCCCATTCAAGTATTGGCAACTAAAGTTCAAAATATCGTTATGTATCGGCTGATACGTATCGTATCGTGGCCTTTTTGATATGCCCCTATAGGGGATGTTTTGAGTCAGACCATGGTTCAAAGGGTAGCCAGGCCTTAAACCGACCCCTTTGAACCAGATTAAAAAAAAAAAACACCGATACAAGTCGATACACCGGTATCGATACTTTGAATCTTATTGGCAACTTCCCCCCATGTGGGAAAGTTATTTATCCACCTATGAGATGGGTATTATTTATCGGGGTAAGTGATACCCTAGAAAATAAACTTTCCATGGTGCTTACATAAATATGAAAAAAGAACGTGGGTTTCTTGGTCAATAAGAATCAAAATCCCATTTACCAACTTTTTCCCTTTACAAAATCCAAAACATGAACACCCCCCGAGTTTAAAAATAAATAAACCATGAAAAGAATGGTGCTTATGGTTCTCTATGATTCAAAACACAAAAATTTACGGCCCTGATGTAGGCTCAGGCCCGGGCCAAACTTGAAATATTAAGTCCAAACCCGGCCCTAAAATTTGCAGGCCTAATGTGGGCCCAAGCTTTAGCTGGGCCTGAACACAAAACCCAGGCCCAAGCCCAGAATTTTCAGGCCGAGCTGAAATGATCACCCCTATCTACTACCTAAATCATCATCCAAACCTTAAGTAACCAAAGAGGGACCCCATTCGCGAACTCCTCCAATACTCAAAACCACAACTACCTGAAGCAGAATGGTTGTACTAGTGTGCAATAAGCATGCACTAGTGTTAACCAATAATCATGTATATTTATATAATGTATGATATATGATACATGTACTAGTGTACACTGCTGCGGTGAACTTTAAAACCAAGTTTAACAAATATAATATTAAAGTCACCATTATAACTTAAGTCTCGATTTGAAAAGAGTGCAAATACAAATATATTTAGTGCAAGATCTTGTATATGATATTTCTAAACATTGTATATGTTTGTATTGTACTCTTTTCAAACAAATAAATAAACAAATGCATGTTGCTGTCCATCATATCTGACTTAGGCCTCATCTACTAGCAAACCAAATGCCTCCAACTTTATTGCAGGTTGACCTTGTTGCAAGTTAGCATTGCATGCAAGATAGTTTCTTTCTTAAAAGTGCAACTTGGGAGGATTCAAGTTAGGGATGATTATGGGCTAGGCCGGACTTTGCATTTATGATAAGGGCTATAGTTTAGGTCCGGGTCCAGTTCAGCCCAAAGTTCCGGGCTTTAAACATAAGTCCTAGCTCAGGTTTATATGGGCTTGGGCTGAGTCGGGTCTAATTCTGGAACAATGTCTTTCATATATAAAACATTATATATCATTTCATATTAAATGGCATAGCATGCATATAAACTTATTTATACATTATATAATATAAAATATTACATATAATATAAATTATACATGTCATATTATAATATTTATATATAAAATATATAATATAATGTAAAATAGCATGTATATATATGTAATTATACACAAAATGTGTAAGTTTAAATATATGTGGGCCGACCCGGGCCGGGCCGGGCTTGAAGTATTAAGACCAAGCCTAGCCCTAAAATTTGTGGGCCTGATGTGGGCCTGGGCCGAGGCTGGGCCTAAACACAAAACCTAGGCTGGGCCTAAACACAAAACCTAGGCCCAAGCCCGGAAATTTCTAGGCTGGGCTTGCACAGGCCGAGTTGGGCTAAAATGATCACCCCTAGCTCAAGTTGGGATTTTATCAAATTTTGAATGGTCTCGAGTTATGTGGCACCCATATATTATTGATTTATATTCAAATGCTATGTGGCATTTATATATGATGCCACGTGGCATGTGTACATATAAAAACATTTTGTTGAATTCAAATGCCATCATTTACTGTCATTTTGAAAAACATGTTTTTTGAAAAATTTACATTCAAACGGTTTTTTTAAGTAAAAATTAACTAAAAGTATACTATGTACTTTATACTTTAGTTCTATTGAAAGTACAAAGCATGAAGTACCGTTGAAAAAGGCCTAAAATGTTAACTCAGGCCAATCCGAATTGCACCCCTTTCTTTCATTCTTTGAAACACACCATTTACCATTCCTATAAGATCCCTCTAAGATGCAAATTGCTAGTAATTAACACTAAACGTATTGTTACTAGACCTGTTCATGGGCCGAGTCGGGGTGGGTTTAGGCTGGGCTTTGCCTCTTTATTAATAGAAAATGTTCAGGCCCAAAGCTTGATTTGCACATAAAATATCCTATTTTTTGTGTAATTTAATAAACTAATATTATATTAATTTAGTAGTAATTTGATAAATTAATACATTAATTCATATTATCTAAATAGTAAATTAATATTTGATAATAATTTAATAAATAAACATATTATATATATTTATTATAGATAAATAATGTATATTTCTATTATATGTAATAGTATCACGCCAGAACCGGGCTTATTTGAAAAAGCTCAAGTCTGAACCCGCAGGCCTAAAATTTTGTCTAAGCCCAAAAATTATTGGGTGGGCCGGGCTGACCCGTTCGGCTACCTAGCCCATCAACAGGTCTAATTGTTACAGCATCTCCACGCAGCTTTTGGTTCTATTTTGACATGCTATACTGTGATACTCATCAATGGCTGATTCCTAGGCTTTACAATTTGATTTAAAGCAACATAGTAGGCTGATTGAACAGAAAACTGTCAGGGTCCTAAATAAGTGTTTCATCAGTCAAATTTTGTGCTAGATTGATTTTGATGAGAGGCTAAAAAATGAGAGTCAAGAGACTTAAGTCCCAGCTTCTAGAGTTGATGTTAATATGATCAGCCACTAATGCTGATATTAACAATCTAGTGTTCTGTTCTTGTTTAAAAAGATTATGTTCGCTCAATTGAATAGCCTACTCTAAAGTCTACTGACTCTACTCGTTTCTGTTTGGATTATTTGTTTCTGAAAACAAGGCTGGATAAGCATCGATTGTGGGATACCAGAGAATTCCAGTTACACTGATGACAATACGGGCATATTTTACTCTTCTGATTCAAAGTTCACGGAAACCGGATTAAACATGAAAATCTCTTCCATTTACATGTCCAGCTCCCTTGAACAACAGTTCTCAAATGTGAGAAGCTTTCCACAAGGAAGCAAGAACTGTTACACCTTCAGACCAGAGCAAGGCAGGGCTTATAATTATTTGATCAGAGCTTCTTTCATGTATGGCAATTATGATTCAAAAAACCAGGTACCAGAATTCGATCTCTATCTTGGGGTCAACCTCTGGGAGACAGTGAAGTTGGATAATGCATCCCATGTCCAAGTGAAGGAGATACTGCATGTTCCCCTCAGTGACTACATTCAAGTCTGCCTCTTTAACACCAATCTCGGAACACCTTTCATCTCAGCTCTGGAGCTAAGGCCTGTGAATAATACCGCTTATAAACCTACATCTGGATCCTTGGTGCTCTACGGTCGGTATGATGCTGGAGCAACAACCAGTCAGAAAATCAGGCAAGTAAATTTGTTTCTGATTGCAGCCAACAGTTGTTCTCTTCAGTTACATATTCCTGTTATTTTGATTTTCTTGTTCACCATTAGCTAATCATGAGAGGTTACATGTTCAATTAATTAAACATGTCACCAGGGACCCAAATGACATCTACGATCGAATCTGGACACCCTTTAGCCTGCCTTATTTGGAGTCATTTCAAACTTCGTTTACCATTGATGCCCAGAGTTCCAACCACTACAAACTACCATCAAAAGTCATTAGCACTGCAGTCAGACCAAAGAATGGTGGTGGCTTCTTGGAATTCCGTTTGCCCCTGGAGGATCCTAATTCACAGTTTTATATGTACATACACTTTGCAGAAGTTGAAAGGCTCCAGGGCAATCAGTTGAGAAATTTCAGCATTTTCCTGAATGGTGAACTCTGGTATGAGCCTGAAGTTCCTACTTACCTATCGTCAAATACAATCTTCTCAAAAGCGCCAGTAAGGGGACAGGAGGTTCGAGTTGCTATGAATAAGACAGGAAAATCCACCCTTCCACCCATGTTCAATGCCTTCGAGATTTATTTGGTCAAGGAGCTTTTGCACTCACCAACAAACAATGAAGATTGTATGTCCATTTTTGTCTAAATTTCTTTCTAACACTAGTGTTACTGCTCCTTAATTACCAAATACTCTGGACCATCTTTAACCCAAAATTTGTCTATCCCTTTAAAACAAATATATTGGCTTGCTGTTAAGGAATAAAAACCTATTCAGGGACCTAACCTAAAAGGTTAACCACTCACGTGAAAGCCTATGAGGCTTGAAGCGTGGACATGACCCATACCTTGTGCTGAAATTTAATTAATTATAATGGTGGTGATGAGGATTGAACACTAGATTACTTGGTTAAACAAGCTCTGATACCATCTCTAGTAACTGCATGTTCAACCTAAAATCTTGAGTTTTTTGGTGAGGTTCCTGAGGCTCAGTTTAGAAGGAGTACAAATGCAAATTTGTACAGTGCAAATACAAGTAAAATAATACAAAATACAAGATTTTGCACTCTACATAATTGTATTTGTACTCCTTCCAAACTGAGCCTGAATAGGTTTTTGTTCTCCAACAATTACCATCATAAATCTAGTTATTTTTATTCATTGGTTATTTCTTTTATAAGAAATAAGATATATATATATACACACACACACACACAGAGAGAGAGTGTTTGAGATAGGACATTCAATTAGTGATACTTTCAAGATAGGCTCCAACTACTGCTGCCTCAATTCTTTGGAACTGGCCACATTGAAAATGGAGCAATAGGACTCTGTACCAATTATGGGTATTACAGCAGGATATGATACAAGAATTAGTGGTGCAATTCAGTGTCCCATATTCATTCTTTTATTTAATTTAGGGTAGACTTTCATCCCTTATTTGTTTAATATTGACAGTATAAATTCTAGTTTGACTTTCTTTTAAATTTGATGGAAATTTAGTTGATGCTGTCATGAATATCAAAGTAACATATGGAGTGAAGAAAAACTGGCAAGGAGATCCATGCATTCCACAGAATTATACTTGGGATGGTTTAAAGTGCAGTTATGATGGTTATAACTCCCCGAGTATCAGATTATTGTGAGTGTGTATAGAAATTACAAGGTAAATTTCATTGACAGTAATCTGACTGTTTTTATTGAGAGTTGTTCATCTTACACGCAGGGACCTGTCCTCAAGTGGATTGACTGGGGAAATAGCTTCTTTTTTTGCCAACCTCACAGCAATACAGCACCTGTATGTATGCATGAATTTCATAAACAGATTAAAAAAAACTTACACCCTAGGGGTCATTTTACAAGCAAAGAAGTACACTACTCATTATAGACTTGATTGGGTGGGAATTCTCTCAACTCATCTAACATTTTTATTTAATATAACTTGATGGATCAATTTTTTGTTTCAGGGATTTATCAAACAATAGCTTAACAGGATCAATCCCTGATTTTCTGTCACAAATGCCATCTTTGGAGTTACTGTAAGTTATTGAGCTTTGATTGTAGAACGGGGAGAAATTAAGTTAAAGGAAGAAAAACAAAGAAAATCTGACACATTTTGTGACAGGAATTTAACAGGCAACAGATTCACAGGATCAGTCCCAACTGCTCTGATGGAGAGATCAAAGAATGGATCACTGTCATTAAGGTCTGTTCAATGATCCAGGCCCTGGATCATTTGTGGTGAATACTTTACGTTTCACACTATGTATCTGTTTCAAATAATATATTAGTAGAGCAGAAGCTTTTGAATGGGTCACCTCAAAAGTTCGTGTATATGAAGTAAGGGTTCCTAATACTATAACCAGACAACAAAAAGTATCAATTTTCAATGTCATTATATGTTTTTCACCAATTGTATTCCATTCTCTTCTCAAGGATTCTACAAATATTTGAGTTTTATATTCAGCATTAAGATTCCAAGCCAATTAAGAGTAATATTTCACAGGCTGACAGGCATATGATCTATGAAAAAGTATAAACCCCCAGTACTTCAGTGATTTCAACCTTTTGTAACACAGTTTAGATGTCACTAGATTATTGCTTATTAATTTTCAGACCCCTGATGGTTCCTAACATACTTCTACCATTTTAATGCTAGTTTGGAGGACAATCCAGATCTTTGCATGTCAGATTCATGCAGACCCAAGAAGAAAAATATTGTTGTGCCAGTAGTCGCATCAGTTACTTCAATATTGGTCATATTGCTTGCACTGCTTGTATTATGGAGCTTAAAAAGGAAAAAGCAAAGAGGTATGTCTTGGAATCTTGGATTTTCTATTAGCTTTCAACATCTCATTTGCACTGTACATTCCATATATACTTCCATAGCAAGATGAATTTAGAGCTTTTATTGTATTTTATTTTTTATTTAAGGGTGTACCAAAGGTATCAGAAAACTTCTTGATGATTATGCTCACATATAATCCCTTTATTTCTGTGATGTTGTTCTAGCAGTAAAGCTCTTGGTTGAAGTCAATAAATCTGATGGGTCATTGGAGTCAAGCAATCAACAGTTCGCATATAATGGGGTAGTGGAAACGCCAAAGAATAAACAGTTTACATTCTCTGAGATTGTTAGTACTACCAACAACTTCGAAACAGCCATTGGTAAGGGAGGATTTGGCACCGTTTACCATGGTTTCTTGAATGATGGTATTCAAGTTGCTGTCAAAGTGCTCTCACCATCATCAATTCAAGGGTATAAAGAGTTCAGGGCTGAGGTAAATCATTATAATCAAATTGGGGTTCTACAGAAAAAAAATGCAATGAAAGGATTGAATCAAAGAAATGTTCATTCCATATAGGAATTCAGCTAAATTAAATTACAGTTCCCCTGTGACAGACTACCAATTGTTGTGTTGCTATGACTGGATTCAAATTGCAGGCTCAACTCTTGTTGCGAGTCCATCATAAGAACTTGGTCTCTTTCATTGGGTACTGTGATGAGGGAGCAAACAAGGCCATAATTTATGAATACATGGCAAACGGAAACTTACAAGGGCATCTCTCTGGTATCTACTATCTATCTGATTCTGTTTCAGGCATTTCTTATATATCAAACTGCTTTGTGAATACACAATTTTCCAACTATTCCTGTATCCAATTCCTTTAGGCTGTATTTGTTTGCAATGCAAATGTGAACCAGATACAAATTTTGCACCTGGCTCAATATTGCATCTGTTTGTTTGTGACCATGATCTGTACTCTTACCTGATGCAAACTTTGCACCTTTTGTCTCATTTGCATCCATTAGCAGTGCAAATTTTGTGTTTGAAAATTTTATGCAAAATTTGCAACACTTCCTCCTACCTTAATTCTCTTTCATATAAAGTGGGGATCACATCAATTTGTTTCCTACTTACTCCCCCAAATAAATAACCTTCCAACTCATTTCTCTTTCATATAAATGGGAACCACATTATTTCACTTCCCATTTTACCTCTTACATACAAAGAAAACAAGGTCAAGTCTGAAGCAAATGTAAAACCAGAATTTACACTAGTCCATTTGCACACGTTTGGTTGCAGTGCGAATTTTATTTACATACATGCATGGGAGAGCAAATAGGTTGAGTGCAATTTCTGGTTTATTTTTGCTTTAAGTTTGATTTTGTCTTATTTGTTTGTGATAAGTAAAATGAAGTTATCTCTACTTTATATAAAAGAGAATAGAGATAGGAAGAGGCTTATTTGTTTGGGAGTGAGGTAGGAAGAAAGATAATGTGGGCCCCATTTTAGAGAGATTTGAGGTGGAAGGATGGTGGTGCAACTTTTACAGATATTTTTGAGATGTAAAGTATGCATCGCCAGTAAGTGCAAATGAACAAAAAGTACAAATTTTGTATCAGATGGAAGTGCAAATCATAGTTACAATTAACAAGTAAACAGAAGCAAAACTGAAATGGGTGAAAAATTTGTACATGGTTCAGGTTTGCATTGCAAACAAGCATAGCCTTAGCAACTTTATGATGGTAGTATTAAAATTTTATGGTCTTTGTATTTTCATTTATAATGAAATAGATATAGTGAGGGATCAAACACAACCTCTTCATTTTAAAACCAATGGTTCTGGTATCAACCAAAAGCATTTAACTCATGTTTTTATAATGTTTTACTTAAGATAAAAATCTGGATGAATTAAGTTGGGAAAAGAGACTTCGAGTAGCAGTGGATGCAGCACAAGGTCAGTGAGGATATGCAAAACTTGAATTTTCCATTGCTGTCTTTCTTTTGTGCTTAAATAAACTTACTATCAAACATAATTGACAGGGTTGGAATATCTGCACAATGGGTGTAAACCACCCATAATCCACAGAGATGTGAAGACATCGAACATCTTATTGAATGAAACATTCCAAGCTAAATTAGCAGACTTTGGGTTGTCCAAGGATTTTCCCAATGAAGGCCAAACTCATATATCAACAACAGTTGTTGGCACACCGGGTTACCTTGACCCTGAGTAAGTCCTCAAACATGGAGGTTTAATTTCTCACTAGATGCATCAACATTTCAAGGCATAAACAATAAAATGAGTCTTTTCCATGCAGGTACTACATTTCTAATAAGTTGAATGAGAAGAGTGATGTTTATAGTTTTGGGATTGTTCTCTTAGAACTGATCACGGGCAGACCTGCAATTACAAAAAGCTCTGATGAAAGGATTCATATAGTGCAATGGGTGAGTTCTATGCTTGCAACAGGGGAAATAAGAAACATTGCTGACCAAAGGTTAGAAGCAGATTTCAACGTTAATTCTGTCTGGAAAGCCATTGAGGTAGCAATGGCATGCTTACCAGCTACAGCCATACAGAGACCAACAATGAGTGATGTGGTAATGGAACTAAAGGAGTGTTTGGCAATGGAAACAGCACATAAAGGCGCATCAAGAGTGGGTGAATACCAAAAGACCCACTCAAGCATGGCAATTGAAGTGACTCCCATGGATCCTGAAATTGAAATGAGTCCCTCAGCAAGGTAGTGCATGGTGTTTTCATATCGAAATTTATCACCAAAAAGAACCCAATGTTTTAGAGACTTATTTGCAAAATTTTAGTATATATTTAATAGTTGTGGCACATCTACATGAACGATTAATAATTAAATGTTAAGGTACAGACTTGTTCTTCTCATCGTGTTAATTAATCTGTCCATTATGCCTAAGTGGATGTCTTCTCAAAGGAAGAGGTGCTCCATTATTGTGTGTCAGAGAATAAAAACCTATTATTAAGGTATGTCACCTAAATAGGTGTTCGATTATGGTATGGAAAAATATGATATCCGAAAAACATCTGACCAATCAACTGGAATTATAAATTTGGTAGCCAATCAAGTGTTATTTATCAAAATTCATGGGTGGGTTTTGATTGGTCAAAACTCTTTTCATACTATATCTTTTCCACATCATAGATTTTCCCAATAGATTAAGCTTTTAGGTTGAATTCCTTGAGATGGTATCAAGCCTCTTTGACCAAGTGGGCTAATGTTTGATCTCCATTGCTCCATTATAAGTAATTAAATTTTAGCACAAGGTATGTGGTGGATATGTGCTTGTCCACCCTTTAAGCCCAATGGACCTTTTGTGTAAAGAGTATTAGAGAACAAAAACTATTTTGGGATTGAATACCTCATCTAACAGTTTAAGCTTTTAGGTTGGATAGTTCCTCTTCCTCGGGATTCTAGATCTAATAGGCACATTCGGTAAGCACAATGAGTGAGCACCTACTAGTTGTGTGACACCTGCCCTAGCTAATGTATCTCTCACTCAATTGTTTTTCTCTATTAGACAGGAATTATCTGTTATCTTATTATTTTTGTCAAAATAATTAAAAATAAAAAAAAAAAGAAAAAAAAGAAAACTCATTAGCTAAGACAGGTGTCGCACAGCTATTAGGTGCTCACTCATTATGCTTACCTAAGGTGCCTACTACATCCAGACCCTTGTAATGCACAATATTTCTGTCACTAAAATTCTGTTATTTCATGTATATCCCCCTGCATCTGTTAAAAAAGTTGGCCTCGAATTGCCTTGTATAAATAGATATAGTAATGAAATGTGATAAAATTTGAAACCAAGCCTTCCTCCAACCATCTTAGGAACCAAACTAATAGTGATCTGGACAACCTTAGGGTATTATTATCAAAGTTTGTATTGAACGCAGGAAACTGAGCATTTCATCAAGTTAAAAGAGCATGAGCATTCTCGTGGAATTGGAACCGGATACAGATTTTGAGGCTATGCTTGTTTACACTGAAAATTTGAACCGGATACAGATTTTGCACTTGGTTCTACTTTGCATCTATTTCTTTGTGACTACTTGCACCCCTACCTGATTCAAAATTTGCACTTATCGGTAGTGCAAGTTTTGCATTTGACAAATTCATGCAAGCCTTGCTACCTGAACTCTATCTCATATAAATTGGGGACCACATTTTTATACTATCATACTCCTAAATAAATAACCTCCCTCTCCTTTCATATAATTAAAGTGGAATCACATCGTTTTACTTCCTATTCTACTCACAAACAAGCAAGACAAGGTCAAATTTGAGTAAAGGTAAATCAGAATTTACACAGCCAATTCACATTCCCATACATCTGCATTATTTTGAATGAAATTTGCACATTAAACAAATAGAGCCTAAGGCTGTGTTTGGTTGTAGTGCAAATTTATTTGCACTAGTACAAATACATGAGAGTGCAAATTAAAAAAAAAATGCAAATTCTCATTTAATTATGTTTTGGGTTTTACTTTAATCTGTTTCATGTCTTAATTTACTTTATTTGTAATGAAATCAAACAAAATAAGCTAAAATTTGAAACAAAAAATAGGTCAGAATTTACACTTAAATCATTTGCACTGTCATAATTTTGCATCAGTGCAAATTTATTTGCATTGTAACCAAACACAACCTAAGGATCAACCAATTATGGAGAAACTTGACGTGTACTACTAGCAAAGAGAATGCGCAATATTCTTATATACAATCACATAGCAGCTCCTTGTGCTCTATTTGAAATGCAAATTTCAATTGAATCATAGCAACACAAATGGGCATAGTGTAAAAATTCTGATTTACTTTGTTTTCTGATTTGGTTTTGTTTCGTTTGTGTGTAAGAAGTTAAACAGGAGGTAAAATGATGTAGTCCCCAAGAAAAGAGAATAGAGGCAGGAGGTAGATTATTTGTTTGGGAGGAGTAAGGTAAGAAGCAAAATAATGTGGTTTGAACCTTAAAATTTCCCATCATATAAGAGCGCAAATCATAGTTATAAAGCAAATTGATGAAAAACTGAACTGATGCAAAATTCTTATCTGGTTCAGAAGTACCACAAACTAACATTGCCTTAACTTGATGTTAAGCACAATTTTTTTTATGCATAATCTTAAGTAACTATAGACATAAAAATACTGCAATATCGATGTTATAACTTTGCATCACTAAAAGAAAATAAAAAGACTCAAAATAGATAGAGGGACTGAGAATGATATATAAACCATCAAAAAATTCTTTGAAGAAAATGGAATTATACAAGAAATCACAACCCCTTATCCACTTGAATCTAATGGAATTGCAGAAAAAGTCAATAAAACAATAAAAGAAATGATAGATACTATGTTAATTAATTCAAGTGCACCTCTTAACTTGTGGGAGAAAGCAATCCTAATGACTTGTCACCTATATAATAGAATACCGCGTAAGAAGAATGGATAAATACCTTTTGAACTTTGGCATAATAGGAAATCCAATTTAAACTACTTAAAAGTTTAGGACTGCTTAGTAAATGTTGGAATACATGAACCTAAAAGAAAGAAATTGGGACGAAAAACCTTTGATTGTATGTTCATTGGATACATGCAAAACAGTGCAGCTTATTGGTTCCTTGTAATTAAAACTATTGATAATGTTTTAAAATCCAACATAATAATTGAGTCCTGATGTGCAGAATTCTTTGAGCATATTTTTCTATAGAAAAAAATAAACAATCAATAGGGAACCTCCCCAAGTCCATAACAGAAACAAAGAACAAGAGTTGAATGCTTAAGAAATCAGTACTCTATTTAATAAAAGAAACAACGATTTGAATAATCAAGAACCAGATTTAAGGAGAGGTAAAAGACAAAGAAAAGAAATAAGCTTGGGTGATGGAATATCCACATTTCTAGTGGACAAAGACCTAATAACTTATTAGGAAGCCATAACCTCCCCTAATGCAATATTTTGGAAAAAAGTCATAAAAAGTGAAATAAACTTTTTAGACACTAATCACACTTGGAAACTTGTAAATCTCCCACCTAGAACTAAGGCACTAAATTGTAATTAAATATTCACATATTCCCCGATTGCAAGGTTAACTACAAATAGAGTCTTGTTTGCTATAACATCTATTTATAAAGTAGTAGTTCATCAAATGGACGTAAAAACAAATTGTCCTAAATGGAGAATTAAAAGAAGAAATATAGATTAGGCAACCTGAAAGTTTTGTAGTGCCAGGACAAGAGAACAAAGTGTGTACACTAATAAAGTCCTTGTATGACTTAAAACAAGCTCCCGAACAATGGCATGAAAAGTTTGATAATGTATTAATAACAAATGGGTATAACAAAAATGATTCCGATAGATGTGTCTATATCAAATTTGTTAATGATAGAGTCATGATCTGTTTGTATGTTGATGATATATTATAATGAGAACAAGTATAGAGGTAATGAAAAAAAATAAAATAGTTCTTAATGTCCAAATTCAAATATGTGGAAACTATACTTAGGAAGTTTGGACACCTTGATTGTAAACCAATTAAGACACGACTTGACTATATTATCCACTTAAGAAAAAGATATGGGAGAATTTGTTTCACAAAAGGAGTATGCAAGTATAATTAGATCGGTGTCTTACTTAATGAACTGTACAAGACCAGATATAGCAATAGTAGTTGAAAAATTAAGTCAACATACTTATAATCCCGAGAATGAACATTGGGAAACTTTAGTATAGTTATTAAAATATTTAAAAGGAACTATAAATTTTGGTTTGAATTATTCAAATTTTTTTCTATTTTAGAAGGCTTTATTGATGTAAATTAAATTTCATATTTAAAAGGGTAGTACTGCCACTAGTGGGTATATCTTTACACTAAGAGGTGAGGCAGTTTCTTGGAAATCAGTAAAGCATTCCTATAACACAACTTCAATAATGGAGGCCAAATTTATTGCATTAGACTTGACAGGGTATGAGATAGAGTGGCTAAGGAACTTATTAGCAGATATACCACTTTGGCCATGGCTGGTTCCATCTATATCTCTTCATTGTGATAGTCAAATAGCAATATCTAGAGCTAAGAATAAAACATATAATGTTAAAAAAGGCAAACTACAAACTTCTAAAGTGGTTTATGAGGTCGGAAAAGAATCTTACAGATTTGTTAACCAAACCACAGACTTCTAAAGTGGTTTATGAGGCATCGGTAAGAATGGGGTAGAAGCCCGCCACATAAGTAATTAGTGATGAATGCCTAGCCTATGTGAAAAGAAATCCATAGAATTAGGTTGGATAAATAAAAACGAATCGCTAGATGACATGGAAAAGTGCTATCAAATTGTGCCCCAATATAGATGCCAAAGTAAGATAGTTCTCACTACAGAATGAGGAGGGTGACTGTAAGGCTCTTAATCGGTTAAGAAAAGTATGTATAGTACACGCTAAATAACCGATATAAGTGAGTGTGAAATGTGACCACTTCTATGAGAGCTTTAAGGGTTAACTCTCTAAAACACTCATGATTCCAACAGGGGAATAAGGTCGAAATGTTCCAAAACAAAAAAAAAAAACCACTAAGGAAAGGTGAGTTGAGTTAGTTGGAAAATTATCTAGTTAAATCAAAGGGGAAATGTTTAAGGAGTCTGACTCTACCCATACTCTATAACATAATTTGTCATACCTAAGTGTTGATTGAAATCCAAAAGACATCGCCATGAATACAT